ATACCATTGGTTTGCAGATGATATGGAGAAGAGAATATATATTTTATTAAGAACTTATCACACAAGATCTTGACAGTGTCACTAATAAAATTTTTTTCGTTATCAGAGAGTATCATTTTGGATATGCCATGTTTATATACAATTTCTTCAAATATAAATTTAGCTAAATTTTCTGCTTCAGCATCTGATACAGCTTTTGCTTCAGGTCATCGAGTAAGATAATCAGTAGTGACAATAATGTATTAGTTATTTTGAGCAGTTATTAGTAGAGGTCTTACAAGATCTATACTAATACATTCAAAGGCTCATTCAACTTGAATAGGATGGAGTGGTTCCTTTCATCTATTTTTCTGTTTCTTTTGGCAGGTTTTACATAAGTGAATATAGTTCTTATATCTCTATACATTTGGAAGACCACGTAGAAAACTACGTGAAAGCAGAAGTAGAAGAGGAAGATTATGCAAAATTTTATACTATTTTTTGTACAATAATTGTGACAGATTAAAATAAAATCAGATTAAAATAAAATAAGAGATAGTGTAAAATAGACAAGCACTGAAAAATACAAATTTTTGGGGCACACTTTTTTAGCATTTTTTTAGAGTTAGTATTAGGGTTTAGGAATAGTTTTTATAATAAACAAGTATAAGTGGGTTTTAGAGGTGCAAATAGAAATCTCTCATTTCATTTTAATCTGATTTCATTATGATCTGTAACAATAATTGTATATATTTTGTATAAAAATTGTGTTACTTTATATTATAATTGTTTGAAAAAGTGCTATTTTGTCTATATTTATTGAAAATTTTTATCACTACAAAATCTTTTTATACAAAAAATAAACAAAATGACACTTTTTTACACAATGATTTTTTTAATATATATATAAATTAAACAAACATTTAACAAAAATTAAACAACCATTTTTTATAGAGATATCAACAAAATAAGAAAATGTCTTCTGAGATATTAAAACTTTTAAATATTATATTGCATTACCTTTCACCAAATACAACTGCGCATATTCATCCCATGGATGCTGGTATAATTAAATCTTTTAAATCAAAATATAAGCATCTATACTGTAAATATGTTCTTCAACAATTTGAATCTAGTGTTGATATAAAAAAGTTTGTATAAATATTATTGATTAAAGCTAAGCTTGGTTAAATCAAAATTTGTATCCCATTTAAAAATATAAATTTTTTAAAACCTACTTACATTCTTTCATGATGAATATAGTTCTAAATCCTAATCTAACCTTAATACTAAACTAAAAAAATATATGAAGACCGGACAACTAAAAGGGGGCTTATAGCTTTTTTTTTATTTTGAGAAAATCACGTTTCAAATTTAGTGTAACAATAACAATGATGATCTATTATTAGTATAACATGTTAGATCAACATAAATTAGCCAATCACATGAATGCTTCTCTATGACTTCACAGCAAGAATCGACAACTAGATTTCTAAATTTTAATTTTAGATCACATCTAATTGTATATAGACATTTAAACAAATAGCTATTGACAAATAATTTATTATATAACTTGGTACTTTTAAATATAAAATTATATAAAGCAATACTTATATTATATCATAGTGTAATTAACTCATTTTTGAGAAAAATGCCATAAGCTCTCTTTTAGTTGTCTGGTCCCTATATAAGCACTATCAAAGAAAAAATTGACATTAAATTTTTAATTATATTTTGGGTACAGTTAGCTATCTATTACAAATTTATCATATTTGATAGATTTTTATAAACAGATAATTGACTAAAAATATAATTGAAAGTCTGATGACAGGTTTTTTCTTAACCACACTCATATATTTAAAGATTTAAATTAATTTGATTTCAATTCTAAGCTTTAACCACTGCATTTGTCATATTTTCTTGTTATTATTTACTAATATAGTTTTTTTCTTACAGAAAAAAACTAACTGTTAAAAAAGCAATTGATTTTATTGCAGATTCATGGACAAGGTAAGTGATACGATCATCCAAAATTGTTGGCTCAAGACAGAAATTCTCCCAGATGCAAATGAATCAGAAATGGATATTGTAGATCAGTATATTAAAAATAATGTTTTATTAAATAATGATGAAATTGAGGAAATTATTACAAAGTTACCTAATGAGAGCCTATATGCACCTGAAATGGCTAAGGCTGTAGCAATATATATACAAGTAGTTGACAAGCCCATTGCTACAGAAGAAATACTCAATGATGAAGAAATCATTGCTACAGTTCAAGCTGAAAAAATGAGAAAGAACTACCAAACAGAAAATTGAAGATGAGAATGAGGTGTCTAACCCCCCTATAACAGCAGCTGAAGTATATAATGCGATCCAAACTGTAATTTATTATAAAGAACAGAAAAATTCAAAGTCAAATATTATATTGAAGGAATTAGGATTTTTAAGAAATTTGTTTAAAGAATACAAACATATATATGAAAAATAAAAAAAACAATCAAAATTACTAGTTTTTTTAGTTTTCAAACTTCAAATTCCTACAATTCATTCTCTTATGATCAATCCCCATGATTCATTCTCTCATGATTCATATCCCTCAAATTTATATTCTCAAGACCATTTTTAGGATTTATACTTTCAAGATTCATATTCTTAGGATTTAAACTCTCAAGATTCGTATTCTTAGGATTCATATCCTCAAGATTTGTATTCACAAGATTCACAGAGTTCAAATATACAAGATCGGTATTTACATGATTTGTCTTTCTCTTATTCTCAATATTCATATTTTTAGCTATAAAAAAAAATTATATAAATAAATTTTATGAAGTTATTTGTATTAGATTTAATTTATTTAAACTATATCATATCTATTCAACGTACCAAATTTGTTCAAAACAATTGACAAACTGATTAACATAATTTATCCCATTTATTATCAAAGTCTAACTTGGATAAATCTGAAACTAATAAAAAATAAAATGTGAAAATTAGACATTATAACATTATAGTAAAAAACATTAATATTATATAACCTAGCTTTTGGAATCTGTAACCACCACAGTAGATAAACTGAAGATAACCCATTATGCTCAGTTTAAATTCACGAATGATTAAGAAGTCTTTGATTAGAATTTAGTATAGTTTTAAATAGTGCTATTTAGTAGATATTTCTATAATTTGTTCTAAAAAACTCTTGTTATATCTAGTCTTCCAACATATAATCACCTTGTCTTGAAAACTTTAAATATTGATCCATACATTTTTATACTACAGGTTCCTTTGATCTCTTAATTGGCTATGACAAATCTATAACACATAAGTACTTGAAGAAGAATGCGGTATACAATTATTAAAAATTATTAAAGACCAGTTTGATTTAAGTTTTAATTAGAAGTAAAAACTATTTAAAAATGCTGTACTATAGTGATTAGAGATGGGCAAGGTAATTTACTTATTACGTAAAAGTTAGATCATATGATTTAACTTTTATGTAATAAGTAAATTACCTTGATCTTAGCTATAATTAAAAAATTCGGCTAAGCCAATTTTTTGACCCGGTGGGTTGATTTTTTCTAAAATCAGATAGCTGATTTCATAAAAGTTATTTCTTTCTGTTATTTCACATCTTGTAGTAAATGTCAGCTCTATCTCCACACTACTCTCACCTGTCTCTCAGTAACTTGTAAACTAAAGATAGTATATTGATATTCTTAAAGCTAAATACTAATAACTTTGATTTGATATTGTGTTATAAATTGTTAATATAGGGGGTGCCAGTAGAAACCAAGCAATTTGTTTTTAGTGAGTTTTTTTAAAATTTTAAATTAAAATATCTCAACAA